GCCAATTGCTGGACCAGGTCTGCAACCTGTCCAGATCCCTTTGCAGTTCTTCCTGGTCCTCGTCCGATTGAATTCTTCTCATCAACTTCTCATGATCTGCAAACAGGGACACTTCAGAGTCTATTCCTTCCGCCATGTCGTTCACAAATACCAGAAGCAGCACCGGTCCTAGGACTGACCCTTGTGGAACCCCACTTGTCACAAGTGCCTACTCTGACACCTCGCCGCATACTATGATTCGCTGCTGTCTTCCTCAGAGGTATTCCCTGATCCATTGTAGTGCCTTCCTTGTTATCCCTGCCTCGTCCTCCAGTTTTCGCACTAATCTCCTGTGTGGAACTGTGTCAAACGCCTTACAGCCCAAGAAAATGCAATCTACCCAACTCTCTCTCTCTTGTCTTACTGCTGTCACCATGTCATAGAACTCCAGTAGGTTTGTGACACAGGATTTCCCATCCCTGAAACCGTGCTGGCTGTTGTTGATAAGCTCATTTCCAGCACTCTTCTCCTGATAATCTTCTTCATGACTTTACATACTATATATGTCAGTGACACTGGTCTAAAGTTTAATGCTTCTTGTCCATCTCCTTTTTTAAAAATTGGGACTGCATTTTTTGTCTTCCATACCTCAGGTAATCTCCGTGTATCGATAGATGTGTTGAATATTGTTGTCAGGTGCACACATAGTGCCTCTGCACCCACTCTCAGGACCCACGGAGAGATATTATCCGGCCCCATCGCCTTTTTGAAGAGTCTAGCTCGCTCAAAAACATCTTTACTTCTTCCTCTGTGGTATGTATTGTGTCCAACACTTGGTGGTGTACCCCACCTCTCTGTCTTTCTGGAGTCCCTTCTGTCTCCTCTGTGAACACTTCTGTAAATCTCATGTGAGTTCCTCACATACTTTGTGGTCGTTTCTTGTGATCTCTCCTCCTTCCTTCCTTAGCCTGATTACCTGGTTCTTGACTGTTGCTTTCCTCCTGTTGTGGCTCTACAACAGCTTCGGGTCAGATTTAGCTTTCGCTGTTTTGCCATTTTCATATTGTCGTTGGGGCTCCCTTCTTACATGTGCATAGTCATTCCTGGCTCTACGTCTGCTCTCGTTATTCCCTGGGTCCTTTGCCTTCTATACTTCTTCCATTCCCCAGCACACGTGGTTTTGACCTCGCTGCACCTTTGGGTGAACCACGGGTTCATCCTGTCTTTTTCATTATTCCTGTTACCCTTGGGTTCAAACCTCTCCTCAGCTTCCTAGCATACTGTTGTCACATATTTCATCACCTCGTTTAATGTTTTCCCTGCCAGTTCTCTGTCCCACTGAACCCCATTCAGGAAGTTCTTCATTCCTGCATATTCCCCCTTTTTTAGTTTGGCTTCATTCATCCAGCTCTTCCTGTTTCCCCCTCCACTTGTAACTCTACTGTGTATTCGAAATTAAAACCACATGATTGCTGGCCCCAAGGAGTCTTTCATATGTGATGTCCTCAATATCTGCACTACTCAAGGTGAATACTAGGTCCAGTCTCGCTGGTTCATCCTCTCCCCTCTATCTCTGGAAGCGTCTTTTACATGTTGGTACATGAAGTTTTCCAGTACCACCTCCATCATCTTAGACCTCCACGATTCTTGGCTCCCATGCGGCTCCAAGTTCTCCAAATCGATTTCCTTGTGGTTGAAGTCACCCACGATCAGTAGCTTTGCCCTATTTGCATGAGCCCTTCTTGCCACTTCAGCCAGTGTGTCAACGATCGCTCTATTACTCTCATCATACTCTTGCCTTGGCCTCCTGCTGTTCTGTGGTGGGCTATACAACACTGCAATTACCACCTTGGGACCTCCAGACTGAAGCGTTCCTACTATGTAATCTCTTGCTTCTCCACTGTCTCCAGCTCATCAAAATCCCATCGGTTTTTGACCAGCAGTACCACTCCTTCACCCCGTCTGTTCCCTCTGTCTTTCCTCTGTCTCTGATCCATTGCAGTGCCCTTTCTGTTATATGCGCCTGATCGTCTTGCTTCTGCACTAATCTCTTGTGAGGAACTGTGTCAAAGGCCTTCTTGCAGTCCAAGAAGATGCAATCAACCCACCCCTCTCTCTCGTGTCTTACTTCTGTTACTTTATCATAAAACTCCAGAAGGTTTGTGACACAGGATTTGCCTTCCATGAATCTGTGCTGGTTGGCGTTTATACTCATGTTCCTTTGCAGGTGCTCCACTACTCTCCTCCTGATAATCTTCCCCTTAACTTTGCATACTATACACATCAGTGACACTGGTCTATAGTTTAGTGCCTCTTTTCTGTCTCCTGTTTAAAAATGGGAACTACATTTGCCGTTTTCCATACCTCAGGTAGTTGCCCAGTTTCCAGGGATGTGGGTAAGACACATATGCAACAGTTAGGTATCTTTATTTTGAAACGTTTCGCCTACACAGTAGGCTTCTTCAGTCGAGTACAGAAAAGTTGATAGAAGCAGAAGATACTTGAAGACGATGTAATCAGTCCATCACCCTTAAAGTTTTGAGGTGGTCAGTCCCTCAGTCTGGAGAAGAGCATTGTTCCGTTGTCTGAAACAACAATCTGTCGGTATTTTATACCATTTTAATGTTCATTCCAGGGATGTGTTGAAGATTGTGGTAAGTGGCATACACAGCATATCCGCTCCCTCTCTAAGGACCCACGGGGAGATGTTGTCCGGTCCCATTGCCTTTGAGGTATCGATGACCCTTAGCAGCTTCTTCACCTCCTCCTCATTTGTATTTATGTCATCCAACACTTGTTGGTATATTCCTTGCTGGTGTCCCCATCTGGTCTGTTCCCCAAGAGCCCTTCCTGTCTCCACTGTAAATACTTCCTTAAATCTCATGTTGAGCTCCCCACATACCTCTTGATCGTTTCTTGTGAGTTCTCCACCTTCTTTCGTCAGCCTTATCACCTGGTCTTTGACTGTTGTCTTCCTCCTAATGTGGCTATACAGCAGTTTCGGGTCAGACTTGACTTTCGATGCTATGTCGTTTTCGTACTGTCGCTGGGCCTCCCTCCTTATCTGTGCATACTCGTTTCTGGCTCTTCTACTAATCTCCTTATTTTCCTGGGTCCTTTGCATCCTGTACCTTTTCCATTCTCTGGCGCACTTAGTTTTTGCTTCCCTACACCTTCGTCTTCCTATTGTTTCTATTTCCCTTGGAAACAAACCTTTCCTCTGCCTCCTTGCACTTTGTTTCTACATATTCCATCATCTCTTTTACTGGTTTTCCTACCAGTTCTCTGTCCCACTGAACCTCCTGCAGGAAGTTCCTCATACCTGTGAAGTCCCCCCTTGCGCGTGTGTGTGTGTGTGTGCGTGTGTGTGTGTGTTGTGTGTGTGTGTGTGTGTGTGTGTGTGTGTGTGTGTGTGTGTGTGTGTGTATGTGTGTGTGTGTATGTGTGTATATGTGTGTTTGTGTGTGTATGTATATGTGTGGTGTGTGTGTGTGTGTGTGTGTGTGTGTGTGTGTGTTGTGTGTGTGTTTGTGTGTGTGTTTTTGTGTGGTGTATGTATGTGTGTGTGTGTGTGTGTGGTACTCACCTAGTTGTACTCACCTAGTTGAGATTGCAGGGGCCGAGTCCAAGCTCCTGGCCCCGCCTCTTCACTGGTCGCTACTAGGTCACTCTCACTGTACCGTGAGTTTTATCATACCTCTGCGTGTTTGTGTGTGTGTGTGTGTGTGTGTGTGTGTGTGTGTGTGTGTGTGTGTGTGTGTGTGTGTGTGTGTGTGTGTGTGTGTGTGTGTGTGTGGTGTGTGTGTGTGTGTGTGTGTTTTGTGTGTGTGTGTGTGTGAGTGTGTGTGTATGTCTGTAAGTGTGTGTGTACTCACCTAGTTGTACTCACCTAGTTGTGGTTGCAGGGGTTGAATCATAGCTGCTGGCCCCGCCTCTTCACTGGCCGCTACTGGATCACTCTTCCATGCACTTTATCATACCTCTTCCTAAAGCTATGTATGGATCTTGCATCCACTACATCACTGCCCAGACTATTCCACTTCTTGTCTTAACAACCCTGTGACTGAAGAAATACTTCCTAACATCCCTGTGATTCATCTGAGTCTTCAATTATCGACTGTCACCCGTTGTTGCTGTTTCCCATCTCTTTAACATCCTGTTTCTGTCCACCTTGCCATTCCTCATATTATTTTATATGTCGTTTTCATATCCCCCCTATCTCTCCTGTCCTCCAGTGTCGTCAGGTTGATTTCCCTTAATCTCTCCTCGTTGAACATACCCCTTAGCTCCGGGACTAGTCTTGTTGTAAACCTTTGCACTTTCTCTAGTTTCCTTTCATTCTTAGCTAGGTGTGGGTTCCGAACTGGTGCTGCATACTCCACTATGGGCCTAACGTATACAGTGTACAGGGTCCTGAGAGAGATTCCTTATTAAGATGTCGGAATGCTGTTCTTAGGTTTGCTAGGCGCCCATATGCTGCAGCAGTTATTTGGTTGATATGCGCCTCAGCAGATGTACCTGGTGTTATACTCACCCCAAAATCCTTTTCCTTGGGTAAGGTTTGTAGTCTCTGGTCCCCTAGACTGTACTCCGTCTGTGGTCTTCTTTGCCCTTCCCGAATCTTCATGACTTTGCACTTGGTGGGGTTGAACTCCAGGAGCCAGTTGCAGGACCAGGCCTGCAGCCTGTCCAGATACTTTTGTAGTTTTGCCTGGTCCTCGTCCGATTGAATTCTTCACATCAAATTCATGTCATCTGCAAACAGGGACACTTCGGAATCTATTCCTTCCGTCATGTCGTTCACAAATACCAGAAACAGTACCTGTTCTAGGATTGACCCCTGTGGCACGCCGCTCATTACAGGCGCTCTCTCTGACTCCTCGTCATGTCTCTGAAAACTCGCTGTTGTCTTCCTGACAGGCATTCCCTGATCTATTGCAGTGTTTTCCCTGTTATCCTTGCCTGGTCCTCAAGATTTTGCACTAATCTCTTGTGTGGAACTGTGTCATACGCCTTCTTACAGTCCAAGAAAATGCAATCTATCCACCCCTCTCTCTCGGTTGTCTCACTGCTGTCACCCTGTCATAGAACTCCAGCAGGTTTGTGACACAGGACTTCCAGTCCCTGAAACCGCGCTGTCTGTCGTTGATAAGCTCATTCCTTTCTTGGTGCTGCACCACTTTTCTCCTGATAATCTTCTCCTTGACTTTGCATACTATGCATGTCAGTGACACTGGTCTGTAGTTTATTGCTTCGTGTCTGTGTCCTTTTTTAAAAACTGCGACTACATTTGCTGTCTTCCATGCCTCAGGTAGTCGCCCTGTTTCGATAGATGTGTTGAAGATTGCTGTTAGGGGTACACATAGCGCCTCTGCTCTCTCTCTCAGGACTCATGGAGAGATGTTATCCGGCCCCATCGCCTTTGAGGCATCTAGCTTTCTCAGCACCACTTGTTCCTCGGATTTATGTATTGTGTCCATCACTGGATGATGTACCCCACCTCTGAGTCTTTCTGGAGTCCCTTCTGTCTCCTCTGTGAACACTTCTTTGAATCTCATGTTGAGCTCCTCACATACTTTGCGGTCGTTTCTTGTGACGTCCCCTCCTTCCTTCCTCAGCCTGATTACCTGGTCCTTTACTGTTGTCTTCCTCCTGATGTCGCTGCACAACAGCTTTGGGTCAGATTTGGCTTTCGCTGCTATGTCATTCTCGTATTATCATTGGACATCGCTTCTTATCTCGTATCTCCTCGTTTTCTTCTTTCATATCATCTTTTTTCAGTTGTTTTTATCTTCGCATTTTATTCCTTCATCCCTTCTTCTCTTTACCATCTCCACTTTATTGTGCTCATAACAGCTTCCTTCTCATCCTCTCCCTCCTCCATTCGTCTTCCGCCTCTCTCTCTCTCTCTCTCTCTCTCTCTCTCTCTATCTAACTATCTATCTCTCTCTCTCTCTCTCTCTCTCTCTCTCTCTTCTCTCTCTCTCTCCTCTCTCTTTCTCTCTCTCTCTCTGTTACACAAGTCTTTACAAGATTAGGTTGAGGTTCCTAACTTTAGCTACAAGCTAAGAGCTGTTACCTATATCAGCTCATTTGAAAGCATTTTCATTGTTGTGAGACACAAATAGGGAACAGGTTGAAGTTGGAGCCATCTGTGGGCCAGCGATTTCATTTGGTCAACCGACTTTATTTCGTTGATGTCATAATGCTGTACTAACATGTTCCAGGCTCGTGCTGTCTAAGGAATAAATGGTCTCAGACGAAGTGATGTTCTGGAAAAGGGAACAATCAGATTGTAGTGCTGTTTGCTGTCCGTCTTGTGTAGAAACTCACTTCTCACTGTCTGTCTGTCTGTCTGTCTGTTTATCTGTTTGTCTGTCTGTCTGTCTGTTTGTCTGTCTGTCTTTCTCTCTCTCTCTCTCTCTCTCTCTCTCTCTCTCTCTCTCTCTCTCTCTCTCTCTCTCTCTCTCTCTCTCTCTCTCTCTCTCTCTCTCTCTCTTTCTTATGATGTCCCCTCATAATCATTTCACCATTCTTTATCTACTTCCTCTCTTCATTTCCTCCTCCACTTCCTCTTGCGTCAGTTCACTTCCTCGTCTCTTCACTGCCTCACCAGAGTCTCATCTCTGGGAAACGTACAGGATAAGTTACTGCACTTCATTTGGTATGTTCCCCGTGTTCTATTCTCTCTGTCTGTTTGTCTGTCTGTCTGTCTGTCTGTCTGTCTGTCTCTCTCTCTCTCTCTCTCTCTCTCTCTCTCTCTCTCTCTCTCTCTCTCTCTCTCTCTCTCTCTCTCTCTCTCTCTTCCTCTCTCATAATTACCCTCCAATCAGTTTTTGGTAAACTACTGGAAACGATAATTATTGACAACGTAGTTAACTTCCTGGAATGCATTAAACTTTTAACCTCGTACCAACACAGTTACCGTAATAAAAGGTCCTGCCTTACAAACTTACAAAAGTTTTCTTTCACCTCCATCTGCAAAAGCTGGACAACAGAATTCCTTACAGGCGTAGTGCGCCTAGGCTTGCGGAAGACATTTTATCAAGTACCACATCGAAGATTACTCAGTAAAGGCTCATGAATCTGAACAATCTCCAGAACTTGATCTCTGATTGGCGTATTGGCAGGTAACAGCGAGTATTATTTAAATGTTCAAGTTTCTGATTGGAAAAACGTGACGAGTGGAGGGAAGAGGATTTTAAATGTTTATATTAAGCTGTCACAGTGGTCAGAAGACCTAGCTTTGCTCTCATAGTGGTCAGAAGACCTGGCCAGGCTATCACAGTGGTCAGAAGTCCTGGCCAAGCATCACAGTGGTCAGAAGATCTGGCCAGGCTGCCACAATGGTCAGAATGTTGGCGGATAAATTTTCAATGTTGATAAACACAGACAATGCACTACGGACATAATAATCTACAATATCGTATAACAGACGGAAATCCACACACAATGACAAAGGAAAGCCTGAGAAGAGTCATAAGCAATGAACTGCAATAAATCAAGCAATGTCTTCCTGTAAGAACCAACGTCAATAGGAGACTATGAGCACAGAACAATGTATTATATAATGATCTCATCAGATCTTTCCAGTTCAGGTCCACTGATTGTATGAGAACATAGATAAACACGAAAGAATACAAAAGCAAGCACCAAAAGTTTTATCATCATTAAGGACCAAAGCATATGAAGAAAGACTTGAATAATTTAATTTGTTCTTAGTCAGTAAACAGAGGCTTCGGGGGAACCCCTAACGCAAACCTTCATGATACTGACCATGTTCGATATCCTGAAGCACTAACTCCTAAAAGTGTAGCGCGATACAGTTACACGAAACAGTGGTATGAAACTCCTTTAAATATGGGGGAGGTAAGGGTTTTTCTCAGGGAGATATGGAACACTAGAAAACTCTCCCGACGGACGTTGTTCTTGCCAGATCACTTCAGCCTTTAAGAGCAGCGTGAAAATACACTTTGCATCCTTAGGATTCTTCTAGTCAAAATTCTTTCCATACAGTGACTACTGGTATCCTGGTGTTTCCTCCACTGCTGATTAGGATATCCAATTGTTTGCCTCCACCTGCAGCACAACATCTAGTAGTAGAGCTAGTGATGACCATACCTAGAACTAGTGGTGGTACCTAGAAGACGAACTTGTGGTATCCAGAAGAGCTAATTGTATCCAGAGATAGAACAAGCGGTATCCAGAACTAGTGGTATCCAGAAGTTGAACTAGTATCAATATAATATTTATACTCAATACGGACAAGTAATACAAATGTGAAGCAATTAGGTATCTTTATTCCGAAAGTTTTCGCCTACACAGCAGACTCCATCAGTCGAATACAGAGGAAGCGAAAATGGAGAGCCAGCAGAAGCAGAGGAGAGATAATGATGATGTGATCAGTCTATCAGCCTTGAAGAAGTAGCCTTAAGGAATCAGTCCCTCATCCTGAAGATGTGTTCAACTTCAGTCTTGAAAAGTATGAAGCTGAATAACTAGAGGTATCTAGATGCAGAAGCAGAATTAGAGGGTTTCTTCAAGAAGAAACACTGGTACACACAGTTCAGTGAGTGGTAAATGACCAACACAAGTTGGTGCAGTAGGAATATATACAGTAGAACTTATCTTCCACCCACTCCAACCTGTCGTATAAACTCCCAGTCACTTATCCCAGCCACTTATCCTATATTTCATGCCGGTAATGGCCGGCATGAAATATAACATAATAGTTAATAGACCTTAATCGCGATTGAAGTTTAAAGTCCTCAACAGATAGATATTTTCCTTTGCCATGTTATCCGTCTGTCTGTCTGTCTCTCTCTCCTGTCTGTCTGTTTGTCTCTCTCTGTTTCTCTGTCTCTCTCTATCTATATATTTATCTCTCATCCACTTAGCAGTTCACGCTGAGGCAGGAAACCGTTCAAGAAAAATACATTATCTTCAATTTACAAATAAATTGTACAGTTTTCTTAATCCACTCTGTGCGTGTACTCGCCTCACTGTACTCACCTAATTGAGGTTGCAGGGGTCGATTCACAGCTCCTGGCCCCGCTTCTTCACTGGTCGCTACTACGTCACTCTTCCTGCTCCATGAGCTTTATCATACCTGTTCATAATGCTATGTATACATCCTGTCTCCCCTACATCACTTCCTAGACTATTCCGCTTCCTGACAACTCTGTGACTGAAGAAAACTTCTCAAAATCCCTGTGATTCAACTGAGTATTCAACTTTCAACTGAGTCCCCTTGTTGTTGTGTCCCATCTCTGGAACATCCTGTCTTTGGTTACCTTATCGATTCCTCTCAGAATCTTATATGTCGTTATCACATCCCCCACATCTCTCCTGTCTTCTAGTGTCGTCAGGTCTCTTTTCATAGGATATGCCCATCGCCTCCGGGACTAGTCGTGTTGCAAACCTTCGATTTTTCTCAACTTTCTATAATATGCTTGGCTAGGTATGGATTCCGAAATGGTGATGCATGCTCCAATATGGCCATAAAGTATACAGTGTAAAGGGTCCTGAACGATTCGTTATTAAGATGTTGGAATGCTGTTCTTAGGTATGCTAGATGCCCATATGCTGCAGCAGTTATTTGGTTAATGTGTGCCTCAGGAGATGTGCCCGGTGTTATACTCACCCCAACATCCTTTTCCTTGAGCGAAGTTTGTAGTCACTGGCCCCCTAGATTGTACTCCTTCTGTGGTCAACTTTGCCTTTCCCCAATCTTCATGACTTTGCACATGGTGGGGTTGAATTTCAGGAGCCAGATGCTGGACTAGGCCTGAAGCCTATCCAGATCGCTTTGTAGTTCTGCCTGGTCCTCGTCCGATTGACTTCTCATCAACTTCACATAATCTGCAAACAGGGACACTTCTGAGTCTATTCCTTCTGTCATGTCGTTCACAAATAACAGAAACAGCACCAGTCCTAGAACTGATCCCTGTGGAACCCCGCTCTTCACAGGCGCCCACGCTGACACCTTGCCACGTACCATGACTCGCTGTTGTCTTCCTGACAGGCATTCCGTGAACCA